TTTTATGTCTGCGTGTTCCAATACACCAACTTTTAAATTCAAGTTATGAATTCAGGAAAACTCAAATTAGTCTCACCTGCCCTACTTCCTGTTTTGTTTTACTAAGGGAATAGATCTGGAAATTCATAAATCAACTGCTTGCTTGTATTTACATTAAATAAAATAGTGCCCTGTCCAGTTCTCCATATCCATTAAATATCTGGGCCTGGGGCTGGGGCTCAGTGGTAGAGCACTTGCCTAGCATGTGTGAGGCACTGGGTTCAATTCTCAGTACCACATAAAAATAAATGAATAAAATAAAGGGCCATCAACGTCTAAAAAAAAATGTTTTTTAAAAAGGACTATCTGCCAGATGAGGCATTAAAGTCCCAGGAGTGGGACTGCCCACGGCAGGGAGAGCAAACCTTTGGCATGTTTGTCTCCTTGTCCTTTCTGGCCTCTTCCCCTGAATATTCCTCAGCCTCTCTCAAGGCTCCCGTCTTCCCCAGCCTTCCCCAACCTCGCGGCCTCCCGGACTTCAACTCAACCTCTCCAGCCTCCCCAGGGACAGAGTCGTAGAGACTTTGGCCTGGGTGGTCATGGGCCCATCCTTGGACCAGTCAGGAGGGAGAGGAACAGCTCTGGGTCCAGCTCAGACACCTGCTGACCTCAGCACAGGCCTCTGTGGCTGGCTGACAGGAGGCTAGGTGGGCCTGCTGGGGGCCTGCTCCATCCTGCTCCCAGGTGCCAAGCGACTCCACTCAGAGCTGGTGCCAGGGCAGGACCTGAACCTTAGGGCACAGGTGCCTTCCACAGGCTCGACACCACCAGCTGTGACCCAGCCCCCACAGGGCACAGCCATCAGCTGCCGCCTGGCTTCACCAGCACCGCTCACCTCACAGCCTCCGTAACCCAGGGCCAATGAGTCACAGGTGTCAAGTGTCACAGGTCGTGATTAAGACAGGGGTGGAGTGAAGAACATGCATGTCTGCTGCCCCCTGAGCAAGTCAGACTGGGGCAGTGGGTCCCGTGAAGCCGAGGGAACTGGCTGAGCTCCTGAGTCTGCTGCTCTCAACGTGGCCTGGAAAGTCACCAACATGGGGGCCTTGGGTGTGCTGCAGCTCCCTCACGACTTGGGGAAGTGGTGGCTCTGGTGACTGCTGGCACTCGACAGCTCTCCTGGAGAACCTGAATTCCCATGCTGGCAGGACTCCCGCACTGACCACATGTGGGCAGAACTGGGGCAGACCCTCCAAGGTGGTCATATCCCTGGCAGGGATGAAGTCCCCACCAAGCAGCCTCAGGCAACTCTCAGGGCCAGAGGGGCTGCAGCCCAGGAGGACACCTGGGTCCTTTGGCTGCAAAGTACTCACACTCTTGATGCCATGGCTGGCATCTGAAAGGACACCAGCCAAGGTCCACAGGGCAGTGGCGCTACCAGAGGGGCTTCCAGCTGGGGCAGACCAAACTCAGGAAGTGCTCTGGACAATACAAGGCATGTGGACGGGAGTGTCAGGGGCAGGAGCAGCAATGGGGGTGGACAGGAGGCTGGTCTGGGAGAGCTCCAGGCCCCAAAGGGCGGGAGGCACAGATGTTCCTGGAGACACAGCCTCAGCTGGGGGAGTGTGCAGTCTGGTTCCTGGACTGCATGGTGATCAGTCCTGAGCTGACCACAGCCGCCTCTGACAGCAGCTGGCTGTCGCACCTTCCCACTGGCAGACAAGGCTCCGATATGTCCTCTCCAACCACGCTCTCTATTCTGATGTCCACTTTTTCAAAGTAGTTGTTTTAGGTGGACGGGGAATGTCTGTCCCCGAAGCCTTTCCCTGAATGATGCTCTGGGAGGTGGAGGGACCTGAGAGAAGTGGGGCCTAGTGGGAGGTCTTCTGCCCCTGGGGCTTGGCCTAGGCCTTCCTCTCCGTCTTGTCCTGGCCACAGGGAGAAGGCTCCACTCTGCCTGCCACATGAGGCTTCCCCAGAGGCCCAAGAGATGGGCTCCTGGGAAGAGACCCCAGAGCCACCCAGGGTCCTGGGAACATAGCTGCTGAGGGAGGCAGCCCCGGCACAGACCTGGTGGCTGCAGGCACCCTCCTGCCACGCCGCACCTTCCTTTCCTCGGCACGCGCTTTCCTACTGGTGCTGATGCAGGTGTCACGCACAGCCATCCCCCTCATCTCCTCAGGGCCTCTATCCACAGTGTGGGCCACTGATGTCCCCTGTCACAGAACTGCCTGTCCCACCGGTTCTCCTCCCAGGTATTTCGAGAGTCCTGCCTCGGGTGTGAATGTCAATAGCCACTGCAGGTTCTTGTAGGAACCTTCTTAACAACAGGTAACGTCCTCTGCATCTGGCGGCATGGCTGCCCTGCTCTACAGGTTGAGATTCCCACAGGACATCTTCTTCCACCCACTCACTCTCCATCTCCCCGATCTAAAAAGTGTCCCTTGGAGAAAACACACAGGTGGATGGATCATGCCAAACTCTGACCCACGTGGCCACAACCACTGACAGGGGATCTCCTGCCCTTTTGCTATGTGAGCCGTATATGCCATGCAGCTGTGTGGGCCTCATTTCCTGCATTACTGTCCTCTTTTGTGTGTAGTTGATTTCTTGTAATGAAATGTTTAAATCCCTTTCTCATTTCCTTCTGTGTACATGCTACAGATATTTTTCTCTGTAGTAACCATACGGATTACATTAAACATCCTCAAACTCTAACATGTGACTTCCATTTTACCAGCTTAACTTCTGTGTCATTAAAAAAAACTGCTTCACTAATAGCTCTGTCCCCAGCCCTTTCCACTGTGATGTTACAAGATCACATCTTTACACACTGTACTCTGCAAATGTAATAATGATTGTTTGAAATGCTTTGGCCTCCTAAATTATGTAGAAAACACCATGTGGGATTACGAACCAAAGTTGCAATACTACAGCTCTCAGACCAGCGATGTCTGAAGATCCTCATCTCTGGAATCATAGTCCAGCGTCACAAGGCCAGCTTCTCTAGGTGCCCTGCACCTGCCCACTGAGGTCCCTGCCCAGTGTTCTAACACCACTCTTCAGACAGCCCCCAGACCCTCCTGTGGGCAGGTCTCCTGGAAACCAGCTCCTGCTGCCATCTCAGTGCTCTTCTGTCTTGGCTGCGGAGGTTCTTGGTGGGCAGGTCTTGTTGTCCTTGTCTGTTTATTTAGCCCTTGGGATCTATCAATCCCTAGCCTGCTGGCCTCTGATGAGAATCTGCCTCACTGAAGAGCCCATGCGTGTGACAAACTGCACCCTCCTGCTGCCCAAAGACTCTGCTCCTCCTCTGGCTTTCAGAGCTCCATCACAATGACCCGTGTGGTTCCTCTGAGTTCCTACTTGCATTCCTTTAGCTTCTTATGCTCATATTCATGTCTCTCAGCAAACCTAGGAAGTCTGCAGCCACTGTTCCTTTGGCTGTTCTCTGTCCCCTCTTCAAATGTGCATGCTGGTGCACTGGAAGGAGGCCGTGTCCTGCAGGCTTCCTGCACTCTCCCTCTTATTGTCTTCTCTCTTATTGTCCCTCAGACTTGATGATTTCTGTTGTCCTAGCTTCAAGTCGAGGGATTGTTTCTTCCACCTCCTCAGTCTGCCTCTGAATCCCTCTAGTGAACTTTCCATTTCGGTTCATGTATTTTCAGCTCCAGATCAGCTGAACTTCCAGCCATCTGCACAGGCACTTTAGGGATCATTCATTTTTAAACACTCATTATTCAGTAAGAAGCAAAAATGTAAGAGGAGTTAAGTTTTGAAATTTTGCATATATTTACCTTTTAAAGGAATTCTCTGCTACTAAAACTGAACATTACTCTGCAGATGAATGCTACACAATGCTGTAACACTGTTAACTGCAACCAATTTAATAAGGTAATCCCTTAATCCTGTAAGACCTTATGCAAAATGGTTTCAGACAGAGGGTGATGTGTCTTCCTACTCTTTCTGTATACTTACTGCAGAGAGTCAGAGACACACCAGGCCTCATGACTTCCTTTGGAGCATTCTGGAAGGTGGGAGGCAGGCCCTTTGGTGGGACCTGAGCAAACAGGAGGTAAGTCACTCCTCTGGCACGTGCTGTGCCATGGCCCTGCAGGCCACTCCAGCAGCAGCACTTTTGAGATGAGCCAGCTAGTTCACAGCCTGAAATAAAGCACAACTGACCTCAGTTAAAGCACCATCTGAACTACAGTAGGTACAATCAAGACAAGAATGGCCTACTCGGGAAAGTAAGAAGGATGATTCCTAATGTGAAGTGTCTCCACCAATCAATAAGTTAAAGCACCATCTGAACTAAAGTAAGTATGATCAAGACAAGAATGGCCGACTCGGGAAAATAAGGAGGATGATTCCTAATGTGAAGTGTCTCCACCAATCAGTAAGAAAAACTCGAGTGCAGGAAGATGCCAAATCTGAAGAGGTGGGTCCACAGTGAAATTGACAGGAGCCCCTCCCATGCAAGGGTGCACTCGGTGGCAGCAGACTCATGTGACCCTGCTGCCAGCAATGCTGGGAAGTGACCTCTGGCCATCCTTCTGGATGGCAGGGGCGCTGGGGCTCCGGGCCTGGAGTGACCACCATGCCCACTCTGCGAGAGCTGAGCCCACGCAGAGCCAAAAGTGTGGAGTGGCAGCGTGTCTGCGTGGCGGTCCTCCACGGCGCCCTGAAGTAGCCCGTGTGCGGTGCAGAGTTAATGCCACACCTGGTGTACGTCTGGCACACCTGCAGGACGCGGGCATCAGACCCGAGGAGCACAGGGAACAGCCAAAACATCTGTGATTTGTTAAGTACAAAAGCAGGTGATAAAATAGGTCTGTCATCCCGATTCTATAAAAAATGTTTAAAAGGAAAAATTGATCCTGAGAGACTGATGTTAATATTAATGTATTAACATCAGAGGTACTGACATTACTATTACTATTGATAGTAATTAATACTACTATTACTCAGAGAAATGTTCATGGAGTTTTAATTTTTTTCTTTATACTTCAATGTGCTTTCTAGATTTTATGCTGTAAGCATAGTTGTTTTTATATTCTGAAAGAATGCATCATAACATATATCCTATTTAGGATAAGTTATAAAACCTTTCACACATTTCAAAATGCAGAATTACAAATAGTCAATAGCTTTTATTAACATAATGATATAAAAATTTTAGTGTGTATACAGAATTCCCAGAGAGCAATTTTAAAACATTTTAATGTGCATCTTAAAATCTTAATTTACCAGATACCTTGTCTTACTGCCACTGACCTTTCAATACAAAAAGTTTATAATTTTTGTTTGCTATAAAACTACATTAAGATTGGGGTTAGGTAGTTCTGTCCCTTCTCAGCCATTCTTGGTAAAGAATGAATCCACTGCGAAGACCTCTGTGGGACCAACAATGAGCTACATGAACTCTGAATGTGGTCACAACAGTGTTGTCAGGATCTGGTCTGTTCCCACATACCATGCTGCCATCCAGCACCACCCGGCTGGCCAGACACGCTGTGGAACTATAGGCACTATCCAGGATAGCCTGGTTATTTCTGTGAAGCACACACAGTCCATAACTTCCCACTCTTGAATCCTAAAACCCAACCACCTGTCATATCCTCTTCATCAGCTCTATAAAAATAATTTTTGTCTCAGATTAGTGTTCAGCTCCGAGTCTCTAAACAGTTCAAGAATCTTACATTCTCTTCACTGATTCAGGTTCAATGTAACAGATCACTAGCCTTGTTAAGTTTGAATGAAATCACTGGAAACGATTTGGCCAAATTCCGTAGGCACAGAACTCAAAGCGCACTCGCTGACGAGGAGGGTCACAGCTCTCCCTCCCACAGGAACAGCCCTCCTCAGCCAGCGGGTGGGTCAGCACAATGGGGACCCCTGGGCGGGCCTGGGCTCCTGCCCTGTCTGCGGGAGTAAGGATGTCAGTTCCACACACCCATGAGAAGCAGCATGTGGAGGCACGAGAACTCAGGAACTGGACACAGGAGGGCAGGGACAGCACGTGGACCGAAGGTCTCAGGTGGCCTCATGAGCATCAGTGACAACATGTGCAGACAACCTCCACAGCGAGACTGTGAAGAAGCGGCTCCCAGCGTGGCCCCACTGCCATCCACACGGGAGGCCAGGACATGCTCCCACCCAGCAGGCTGACCAGGCTGGGCTCTGCCCCGGGTGACAGAAGGCCGCTGTGACGTGGCCTCCGAGTTCTCTCCAAATTAGGTTTGATATGCACTTGTCATTTAGGTGGGAATAAATAACTGAATTTTACAAATCAAGAACCATGCGTGCGGCCTAAGAAGTTCCAACCTGCGGTGCAGCAGGGGCCGCCCTCTCTGCCTGGCACTCCAGGTAAATGCTGGCTTCTGTGTCTGTGACCATCCCTGGCAGGTCCCAGCACTTCTCAGGGAGTCCCGGAAGTGCTTCCTGATGGAGCGATGGGGACTGTGCAGGCACCCGCAGAGCACAGCAGGGCACAGCGGGGCACTGAGGCTCTGGCGGTGGCACTCACATGTTGTAGGCCACATAGACAGGGTCCAGCTGGTCTGCCAGGAAGCCGTCCCGCAGGTGCATACGCTGCTTCTCGCCCCGGGAGTTGATGGGGATCACACCAGGGTCCACAATGACCACCACGCCCACCACCAGGAAGTGCTCCTCCAGCACTGCATTGGTCACCAAGGCCACCAGGTCCAGCGCGTCCTGCTCCAGCCCATCCAGCTCCACCACCACCACCAGCAGGTTGGTCCAGGTGAATACAGCACTGTGACAGGCAGTCACACAAAAGGCATTGGCAAAGTGCCAAGAAGCGAAAGAACAAGCATGTGCCACAGTGGGCCATGTGCCTCCAGGGCACCACGCCTCAGCCCAGCTGCTGCTGAGAACCAGGAGCCTGTGGGCATCAAGGAACCACGTTCAAAGAGATGCCGCAGCACACGTGGCAGAGTCTGGGACTTCTGCCTGGACATCTGGGGATAGTCTCTTGGTTTGAAACTGATTAGGAAGAGAAAAAACCCGAAACCCTGGCAAAGGCAACGAGGTGTGCCCTGGTGGGGTTCCCCAGAAACACACCCAGAGGAAGAACTCAGGAAGTCCTGGTCCTCCCTGGGACCTGTCCACTTGATGTGGAAGTGCCAGGCCCTGCCCCGTGTGCATGCAGAGGGGCAGCGCTCCTCAGCTGGTCCCTTACCACTCAGCAATGCTCCTGTGTGCCCGGATCACAGACGTCTCGATGTCAATGGGATGGTACCGCATGCCTCTCAGCTCCAGCGTCTCGTCCAGAGACCCCACAACATACAGCGCATCGTGTCGCTCTAGGATGCAGGTGAGAGCAGGTGCTCAGAAGGCAGAGCCGCCCAGTGTCTGTGGGCCCAGCCAAGAGCCCTGGACAGGGAGGTTTGGATGCCATCCACGCAGAGGCCGTCACTGCGGTGAGTGGCAGGCACGAGGGGTGTGTGCACGCGAACTGCTCCCACCTCTGGAAAAAGCAGCCATTGGGGCAACCTGGCTGCGGGGCTGGCCGCAGTCCTTGGGATCCTGGCCATGGCTCAGACACCACACCCCCAGCACACTGGGGGGGCAGACCATGGGGGAGGCTGGTATGCCTGAGGAAGGGTCTTCTGTCTCTCATCAATAGCCACCATCCTTCACTCACCCCTGTCCTTGCAGGAGTCATGGGTCCGAGGAGGTGAGGGGCAGCCATGTGGTGAGATCCCCGGACTAGGCAAGCTCCAGCAAACCGGCAGGCACAGCAGGACCCCAGGGGCTGTCACGGACACCCACCCTGCCCCCCAGCACTGCGGCAGGCACTCACAGCGGCCCTCACCTCCACTGGCATCTGTGAGCTCTGTTCTCCGAAGGAAGCCGAGGTAGCCGGTCCTGGCCCAGACGGTCTGTGTGTCTCCAAAGCTCAGCCTGGCACTGAAGTGGTCAACGTGAAGTGCCTCCTCCCCGTAGACCGTGTAGTACCCAGTGGCGTTGTGGGGGCTGCTCACCCAGATCTGGTGGGGCCCAGAGGACAAGAAGGTGGGCATGTCACAAACCAGAGAGCACAGCTTCCATCCTGAGGCAGCCCGGGACATGAACAGCCTCCAGGAACCGGAGCCAAGCGTCAGGGGCATTCCCAGCATCTCACTCGTGGACCAAGCACAGCTATAGGCACAGAAGGCAAGTGACACTTCCTTCCTCCAATAAAGGGGCTTGTCTTGTGCTGGGGGTGGGCACAGGGCCCACACAGTCCTCAGGCCAAAATGCCCACCTCGCACTGGAACCCACAGCTCAGTCCCCAGAAGGACCAGGTGGCAGACACAGCTGCTCAGACCAGACTGAACCACGGAGCCTGAGCATCCACACAGGCACCTTGGTGGCACTCACATGCTGCCAGGACAGACCCGGGGTCAGAGGAGAGCATGGGCTTCCCTAGCAGCTGGCTCCCGGTGGCGCCTCCGGCCATCCAGGGCCCTCAGACCTGAGGCTCCCTGGCTGGGGCAACCCAGGGCAGCAGGTCTGGGAATACAGTGATGGAGAAAGTGTTCCCAGGATTCCCAAAGACCTGTGTGACCCCAGGGTCAAAATTCCTGAATCTGGGACAGAAAGCGGCAGAGGGCAGAGCTGGCGAGGGTGGAGGGCTCCGCCACTTCCCCGTGGTTGAGGGCAACCTGGGCTAACACTCACCTCGCCCAGGTGCGAATCTCCAAGGGGCCCTTTGGTCTCAGTGTGTGCGATGACGACCTTCACCCCTGGGAGGATCTGGAAGGCGGACAGCTAGCTATTAAAAGTCCTCATCAAAGAAAACAGCAGGAGATTCCTGATGCAGGGGCATCAAAGAGAGTCCCTCAGAAGCCCCGCAGCAGGACTACCCACCCGGAACAGGCTAGAAATCTAGAAGCCACTACAAACCTGACTTTGAATTTTAAAAGAAAGGAGACATTAAAAGAAAAAATGCGAGTTGTGGACCCAGCAGAACAACCCCAGGTCCCGAGCATGTCCTGTCTCTTCCCACCAGGGCTTTCACTAAAGCCGAAAACCCTCAACCACCACTGGCCCTGCGCAACAGGGCCTCGAGAGCCTCCTGCTTCCCCAGAGGTCTGTGCCTGAGCCCTCCTCAGTGCAGGATCGGCAGGCTGGAGGCCACGTCCCAGCCTCCTGGCCAACCCAGGGCCCCTCCCTGGCTCAGGCACCACCTGGTTGCACAAGCTTGGCTGCTAGCTCTGCACCCTCAGCCACAGATGAGGGAGGGCCAGGGCGATGGCATGTGCCCTTCAGGCAGGTGGAGGAGGGGACAGGGCCGTGGGAGGTGTGGTCCTACACTGGCGCCAGGCCCTCCCTACTCTGCCTGTCTTCCTGGATGCTTTCCCCCACCGTGGCCCACCTGAACCCCAGAACCACAGCTCTCCTTCCAGAACACAGCCCAGCAGGCCTGAGATACTGTGCCAGCAAAGGGGAAGGAAAGAAAAGTCCGACCAAAGGGGGAGGCCATAGGGGCAGGGTGGGGACAGGCACTGAGAGGCTCCTGAGGGCAGTGACCCACGGAACATGTGCCAGGGTGACATCAGGACTTTGCAAAACCACCTGGAGGAGCTCCAACCCCGGCAGGGCCGCAGTCCCCAGTCTCCCCACAGGCCTCCACGGGCCAGGTCCGTTCAGCTCTCAGCAGGGCTGCTGATTAGAGAAAGTGGAAACACGGGTGGAGGCAGCGCTGCCGCCTGCACCTGCCACTGGCTCACACACACCCACCCGTAGGCAGCCAACAGGGCCCATGTGTTGGCTATTTTGTGGCTGGCTCTGGCCCTCTCTGGGCAGCACCCTGCCTCCTAGAGGCAGCTGTGGCTGTAGCCATGGCAAGTAGAGTTGGGTAGCCTCTCTGAACCTTCTTGAGTTGTGAAGGTACAGAGAGGCAGCTCCCCAGGGGTTCTAGAGGCTCCCAGATGTGTGGCCACTGCTGCGTGGGGCCCTGGAGACCCCTACATGAGCTGCATGCCCACACCACCAGCCTGACTCACTTTCTCACCCTGACCAATGGCCCTTGCTGGGCATCCCTAGCTCTGAAGGCACCTTCACTCCTATGTCTGCACCGGCTGGCCTTTCCTGCAGGACGTAGCTCTCACCTGGGCATTTCAGGCCCAGAGCTCCTTCCTCAGCATCCTCGGGGGCTTCAGCAGGTGGAGGCACATCCCCACTGGCCTGCAGCCCTGGAAGGGCCCCTTCCTTGCTGCACTTGACCTCAGCCACCCGAGTCTAAGAGTGCGTGTGGGCGGGGCCCTTGYTCCATGGCCTGGTCAAGGGTAATTAATCTCTGCATCTGCACCTAGATGCTCACTCTTGTATGTGAGCTCATGCTTCTGCGTGTGCGGAGAGGAGGAAGTGGCTTCTGCAGTGGCCCAGCCCACTCCCAGGGTCTGGCTATGTTCGCTGGACAGCACACAGCCCCAGCACCTCCACTGGGTGGCATTTGAGACAGGTCTCAGACCTGCCCTGGGGCACAGGAGTCCCTGCGTCTACTACCTTTCCAGACTCCATCAAAGGCAGACTGTGCGGAGAACCCCGTTCCACCAAGCGTACCCTAAAAATTAACACAGAAAAAAATTCAGAATAAAACTTACTATGTGGGCAATAATCTCTGGAGACCTTTTCCCTGAGGGTGTCTGTCAACAACAGCCCGAATATCAGCCTCTTATAAACAACCCCAGGCAGGCCCCACCTGCCCTGCTTCCTGGGCTGTCCTCCACCTGGCCAGTCCCTGGCACTCAGGGAGCTGCTCCCACTATTTACATAGCACAGGAGCGTGACCACCCTGAGGATCTGGCCCCAGCACACGCCCCCTGATGTGAGCGTCAGGCAGACGCTGAAGCAGCAGGACGATGGTGCTTCCATTACCTGGCCGTCCTGCCTTCTAATGTTCCCCAAGAAAGCAACCATTGCCGCCCGGGCTGTGTGAGGGAGGATGAGGACTGCTCCCTGCAGCTCTGAGGACGTGGGGCACAGGGGTGAAAGCCCACCTTCCCCACAGGGCACCCCGAGAGACCCACACACTTCCACTTCTCTCAGTGCAGATGGCCCGGGCTGAGCCATAGTCCACTAACACCCAGGGCCTGGAGGCCCTGAGCCAACCAGTGTCCACTGAAGTCTGGGACCTGGGGTGCTGTTAGTACAGATGCAGGCTGTGGCACCTTGCCAGCAGGTGTGGACATTACCTGTCATGGCGCAGCGCTCGCATGTCCACGTAGACGGTCGTGGGGTCTGGGCCAGCTGTGCCCTGGAAGAGGAGGAGCACGGAGGAGCTGCCTTCGGGTGGCACTCTGCTCTGGGGGCCACCGACTTGGCGGTGTGGCAGCTCCTCCCAGGCCATGGGGAGTGCCCAGAAAGCAGCCTATTCCCTAGAGCGGGTCTGCCTTGGGGCTCAGGGTCCCAGGGCAGGGCTGCCGCTGCTCTCCATCCAACACCCATGAGGGTTGTGATATCAAATGAAACAGTCAGGACACTGAAAACATCAAGCCACACAAGCTTCGCTTCAGTTCTAACTCTCTGCTCCCAGTGGTCTCTTGCTGTGGTTGGGACGTTTCTGCTTAGTGGTGAGAGCAGGGCCTGCCCTCAACAATCCTGTTAGGGACCCAGCACAGCAGAGCTCGTTCAGATGAGATGGGAGACAACGCCTGTCCTGACTTCTTCTAAGTCTAGTGTTTGAGTCCTGATTCAAGGGCAGAATGTGCTGCTCCACTAGCTAGGAAGTCACTAACAAACGGACTCTGATCAGCACGTGCCTGAAGGTCCCAGGCAACATCAGCTGTGTCTGCCCTGAACTAACACAAAGCCCTGCTGAGATTCCAGGTCCCTGCAATGTGCCAGGGTTACACTTTGAAAATAGTTTTACTTTAGATTTTGTTACAAAGAAGCTTTTGTAATATGTCAAATAACACCCATTGTGAACAAAGTTAGACAGCAAACGGAACACATTTTCATCTGAAATTCACGAGAAGATCACGAGAACTGGGGGTGGGGTCAGGCACTAGAAAGGTGGGGGGCAAGGGTCAGGTCATACCTGCTCAGCCAGCTTTCCCAGCCTGTTGGGCTGACAGAGGCCCAGGGGCCAGCAGAGGGAGACAGGGAGGAGACAGCCACAGGAAACACAAACAGAAGGCCACCGGCCACGTGAGAAACACGGAAGAGAGCAAAACACATCACTGCATCTTCAGAGCACAGGTGGCATCCCACCGAGAGCCCTGTGGCCACATGGGCACCCGCTCGCCAGCAGGCAAGCAGGTGCCTCCAGCACCCAGACAGGGAACAGGCTGCAGACACCAGCCAGAGTGCCAGCCACACGAGGAACATCAAGGCGGGACCCCCAACACCTTCCACTGTTCAAGGTCTGAAGCCTGGAGAGGCCAACAGCCTTTCTTAGGCTGAGAGGACGTCAGCAGAAACATGGGGTGCTGGCCTAAAGTGGGGTCTGCGGTGGCACCCCACCTGTACGTGAGGCTTCCTTGAGGACTGCACAGGTGCTGGAAACCCACAAGGGCCCACCTGCTTCTTGCTCCCAGCTCCTCCTGTGCAGGATCTCTGGTAAGCTATGTGGGTTTAAGATGTTTCCAGAAAGATAGGTGGGGGCTATGGCTCAGCAGTAGAGMACTTGCCTAGCATGTGCAAAGCCCTGGGTTCGATACTCAGCACCACATCAAAATAAATAAATAAAATAAAGGTATTGTGTCCAACTACAATTAAAAAAAATAAATATTAAAAAAAAATTCAGAAAGAAAGTCAATGGAGATGCCAAATCCAAAAAGCAGAAGAGAAGCCCTACATTGGAAATTCGTTTCTGCAACTTACTTACAGCTTCAAAACAGATTTGGGTTTACACGAATCAGCACATTTACAATGTTCCCATTTAAACTTGCTAGATGTTGTAACACAGTGAGTCCAGCATTTCTTTTAACAAGTAGCCACACATTGCATCTGGTTAGAGATTCTTACAGGTGTACCAGTCAAATCACTGTGTTCTTTTCTAAATAACTCTTTCTTCATCTACAAGAACACTAAATCTTTTAAAATAAAGCCTTGGAGCTCTAAACGGCCATGGGAAAGTGAAGCAAAGGCTCGGAGGTGGAGAGTAGAGCAGGCAAGTGTACAGGGTGGTCTGCAGCTGACCCTTACCTGAAGGCAGATGGCCACGTTGACCCTGCACCCAAAGGTGGTGCTCACAGCACGCGCAGGGAGGCCCAGGTCCTTGAACAGCTTGGAGAAGGACTGTGTCAAGGCAATCCGCGGCCGCTCCTCGGCCACCACCATGCATGTGCGCACACATGACAGGTTCACCCCTTTCATCTGCAGAGGAGCAGGGAGTTGGTGCACTCCACACAGGCAAGGATCCAGGCCCCACCCCTACTAGAAGTTTCTGGGTGGGGCCCAGCATGGCCTGGCCCTCGGTCTGAGTGCACAAGGGAAGCTGACACACTTATCTGCCCCCCAGAGTCAGGCTGGGGCTTCTGACACAGAAGCGCAGAGGGCAGCACCCAGCCCACACCCCACTCTCTCTCCTGCAGGTGTGCAGCTCGAGGAAGACCTTCCCTCTAGGCACAGGCCTGGGAGGTACAGGGGGCTAGCGTGGGCCTTGGGAGGGGGCCACTGCCTGGCTCAGGGCATCATGCCCAGGAGCCTCTGCCCAGGACTCACCCTGAGTGCGCCTGTCTGTGCGCCCAGGCCCTTGGTGCACATTTCCATCACAGAGTAGGAGCAGAAGGTGACACGGGCCTTGTACTGGCTGACGGCTGACAGCCACAGGGACACGTTGCTCTCCAGCTCCAGCGGAGGCACGAGCACTGACTGGTGTCCGGAGTAGACACTGCGGGAGGGGGTCAACTGGGGAGAAGCCACTGCACCAGGTGCTGCCCCTTCCTCAGGAACCCCGTGCTGCTCTCCCACCAGGGGACTTTGAGGGGAGGAGCCGCAGGATGACGGCTGGGGGTGCCACGCATGGGTCCTGGCCTCTACTTCAAACACTTGAGGAGAAGCTGGGCCCCATGAGGCCTCGTAGCTCTGGAGACAGAGCACCCTCTCTAGTATCTGAAGGAGTTGGGCATATTATTCCAGCTTCTGATGGTGGATGGTGCTTGCCTTTAGTGAAAGATGCTTCTACTCTTTCAGTTTTAGACCCCGACTCCAACCACCTCATCCCAAGCAAGCCCTCACATGCATCTCCAGCCTCCGGGAGGCCAAATCCTAGAGCAGCCCAGAGCAGTGGACCACACTCACCTGCACAGGCACCACAGGGCAAAGCCCAGGCCACAGTAGGGGTCCAGGCAGATGGCGATCTGCCGAGAGGGGTAGAGCTCGCACTGCAGTTTTATGGAGCGGCACAGGGCACTTGTGGCTGCATGCGACATCTGGAGGAGGAAAGAAACGGTCGCTAGTGGTGAGGAGGAGGAGGGCCTGCAGCCGTGTCCACTGAGCCCCTGGCCAGGAGGGCCTGCAGCTCCAGCTACAGAACCTCACACTGACTTCCTCAAGACGGCGGCTGCCATCCCCATGACACCCGACAGACCCTCAGGAAATGGCACAGGAGTCTTTGAACAAAGATTCCAGGCTGAGCTCTTCACTCCTAGTGAGGAAATGGACTCATCAAAGCCCCCTATTCCTTGGGGTCAGTCATAAGCCAGAAAGCTGGACATCCAAGTAAGTTTGACCCGCAGGCTCTCTCACTGGGGGTTCGTTGGTGCTCCTTACAGATTTTAGGACACAACGCTTGTTGCTCTTCGGTCTGGATGAGAAGGACCTGCCTGAGCCACACGCCCACCCTTCCTGTCTTCTCGCGGGTTCCAGGGGCAGAACACACAGGAGTTCTCTCCAAAGACCCACCTTTACTCCTGCTAATATCCCTGTGGTGGACACGCTGAAGTCCAAGTAGGCCAGCACATCCGGGGAGGGTGGTCTGAACACGCTAGCCACCTTCTTTTTTGGTATGTCATCTGTTAAACAGGGACACAGTGAGGTCAGCGTCCCTGCACGTGCTCTGCCGTGGCCTCAACAGGTGAGAGAGGAGACTGGTGTTTGTGAGGCCCAGAGCGCACACCCATCAGAAGCAGGCCGCGTCTGGAGGCTACGCTGACACAGATACTGCAGGTGAGGGGAAAGTGGGGTGAGGGGAGCAGGGGCCAGGCTACGAGGACAGCACAGGAAGCCACAGGGCTGAGGGCTTGCCCAGAACTGCAGCACCAGCAAGAGCAGGCATGCAGGCTCCAGGCTCTGCCTGCTGTGCCCAGTTTTTACACCTATGAGGCAGCAGCCCCTCGACACAGGCTTGGCCAGGCAAGTGAGCCCTTGGGCCACAGGCTCTGGCCAGACCCCTCAACAGCTGCCCTGAAAATGGTTCCTCCTGTCCCTCATGGTGCCAGGTGGCAGCCACAGACTACACAGTCCCTGGCTTCAGCTCTGGTGGCATCATGGAGGGCACGGGCTGCAGTGGGGAGGGAGGGCCCTCTCCTGGCTTGTACTCAGTGACTGCAGAGCTGTGGGGTGCTGCTGGGCTGGGTGTCTCACCTTAGGCTGAGACACGCTTCACCAAGCCGAACCAGCTGCCCAGGCAGAGGGGTCCAGCCCTTTCCCGGCCATGCATCTTTCCAGTGATGGGGACAGAAGGAGTCAGGGTACACAGTGGGAAATGCCCTCAAGGGGCTGGTGGAAGGCTCAGACGGTGCCAACCTGCTGTGCAGGCAGCAGGGGTAGCCGGGGCAGCAGGGTACAGACCCCAGCACGTGGGCCTGGGAAGGGGAGTTCACACCTGGGACAGGGTCCTGCGGTCTCACAGGCTGCACACTCCACAGGAGGTCACATGCCCCGCACGGGCCACTCCCATTTCAGCTGGTCATTCACCCTACCACTTAATTTTGGATGGCAAGAGTGTGATCCCTATGAAAAGGAGAAGAAACCCTACAAAGAGGAGTCTGTCCACGAGCCATCTGCTGAGGACGCGTACCAGTGTCCAGGATGGTTGGCCAGGTCTTGATGTCCACAGCAGCAGCTGCCTCCTTCGACTTGAGCAGCCGTGTGATGGCCTGTGTGGTGAGCACGCACGCAGACTTGCTGACCTGCACCAGGAGGGAGGAGGCTGTGAACTGGTGAGCTTGGCCTGTGGCATCCCACCCAGCCCTGCCCACAGTAGGAGGCTGTGAGCTGGAGAGCCGAGCCTGTGGTATCCCTCCCAGCACGCACCTCCACAATCATTTTGACGGTGGGCAGCGTGGTGCCGAGGTTCTGGGGGTGTGGGGGCCGCACAGTAACAGGCACACAGCCACAGTACAGGCAACCATAGAAGGCGGCGATGAGGTCCACCCCTGAGAAGATGAGCAGATGTCAGGAGGGCCCAGAGCATGGTATCCATAGCCAGGCCCTGCGAAAATTTTCTCGAGGTCTGGCCACAGCATTTACAGAGGCCAGCACTGATGGAAGGGCACAGAGGTAGCCCAGGGTGGTCAGGTCAGCCCCCTCGCCCTGAGGGCCGGGCAGTGGGAGGGGCCACACTACAGGGTGCACTGGGGGTGCACAGGAGCCTAGGTAGTGGCCTAGGAGGGACCCAGAAGCAGAAGGACTGAGGGCCTGCACACACTGACCCTCAGAGGAGGCTGAGACACACCAGTGTAACAGGGTTTCCACAGACCAAACCAGGAGGGGCCGTACCCGAATGCCAAGACTCCTGGGCCCTGGGCACTGGTGCGGGCCCTGGGCTGCCTGCTTCTCACCCAAACTAGGCCAGAGGTTCCAACCACCACTCTCTCGACTTCTCTAGAGGTTTAAAATTCCCTATAATTAAGGCTTGTGGGAACCTGTGCCATGCTTAACGCCTATCTTCCAGAGTTAGTCTGACAGATCTCATTCCCTGCCCTGGTTCCCCTGCGCCCAGAGCACCAAGTCCTGCCAGCCTGGAATCAGAGACAACTCCACAGCACCCTCAGGCTACAGACACTCGTTCTTAGAGTCAAATGAATATGCAACATGCACATGCAATCTTGGACGTGAGACGGACAATGACCTAGGCTGTCCAGCCAGGGAGGGTGTTACCAGTTGACAGTTGCCAGGGCCCTTAGTAACTCAAGTGGACCACGGCAGCAGCTCAGCACAAGGCAGCAGAATAAAGGAGAGCACTCCGCGTGGAGGCCTCAGAGGAGAAGTACTTGGCCAGAGGTCACCTTCCTGCAGCCCAGGAACTTGGGCTGCCTGCCAAGCATCTGCACTCCCAAACACAAGGCAGGAACTCTGTCCCTACACCCCACTTCTGCACTCCTGAATGGCACTGAGCCATTGAGAACAGGGTGCAAAATGTGGACTTGTCTCGCCAGCCCAGAGATAGACAGCACACCAGCTCGCCACCTCCAGACAGAGGGGACACACGGCACACCAGCTCACCACCTCCAGACAGAGGGGACACACGGCACACCAGCTCACCACCTCCAGACAGAGG